TTACACTTTGAAATTACATTAAACACCTATATAACTACAAACTATTATTGTTAGCATAGCAGCAGCAATATGGCTTTATTTGAACATTTTATAGCATATTAATAATACTGACAGTAAGATTGATAACGTAAACAACCGGAGAGTTGATTTTTTGGGGAACTCAATATTAATTATATATTAACATTAATGTGTTATTTTTCTCCAAGTTCTGTGTTATTGAGGGTCGGGGCACGTCGTCACGGGCTCTGGAGAGAAATCTCTGTGTCATTAGACTCTCCCATACAGTCTGCATGATCAACACTATGTAGGTTAAGAAGAAATGCAAAGGGCTGGAAATCTCTTCTGTTCCCCTGCTGGAAGTCTTCAATCCTGGGTCAAAACGGGACATATGAGCGTGGAAATCGAGGTTTCTTTTGGACGCATCTGTTAAATGTGTTAAAAAAAATCTTTGGTCATATATATATATTGTATTGAGTGCACGTGCAACCACCCCAAGTACCTTAACAACTGCATAGTAACACCCTAGTAACCACCCATGTCACCCTAGCAACCGCATAGCAACACCCTAGCAACCACCTGAAGTACTCTAGCAACACTATAGTAGCCACCCAGAAAACCTCTCAACCACATAGCAACCATCCAGTATACCATAGCAACCACTAATGCCACCCTAGCAACCACCTGAAGTACTCTAGCAACACTATAGCAGCCACCCAGAACCACCTAGCAACCATCCAGTATACCCTAGAAACACCCTAGCTACCCCTCCCAAATACTCTAGCAACACCAAAGCAGCCACCGAGAACACCCTAGTACACCCTCAACCACCTAGCGACCATCCAGTATACCCTAGCAACACTAGAAACCACTCATGCCACCCTAGCATGCCGCATAGAAACACCCTTGCAACCACCCCAAGTACTCTGGCAACACCAAAGCAGTCACCGAGAACACCCTAGTATGCCTTCAACCACCTAGTAACCATCCAGTATACCCTAGCAACTCCTTAGCAGCCACTCATGCCACCCTAGCAACCGCATAACAACACCCTAGCAACCAGCCCAAGCACTCTATCAACACCATAGCGACCACCCAGAACACCCTCAACCACCTTGCAACACCCAAGCAACCATCCAGTATACCCTAGAAACCACTCATACCACCCTAGCAACCGAATAGCAACACCTTAGCAACCACCCCAGGTACTCTAACACCCTAGCAACACCCTCAACCGCCTTGCAACCATCCAGTATACCCTAGCAACCGCCTAGAAACACCCTAGCAACCAAGGGCCAAATTTTGACACTGCAAGCACCACTCACATGTTCTTCAGGAAATGAACATTATTATTATTATTCTTCTGTTCACCGTTTGTCATAGACCCATGAATGAGGCGTCAGATCGACTCTCATCTAAGCTCTACATTACAGATGTCAGTGTGCCGACTCAGATAATGAGGTGTTCATCACCGCCGTGTTTACTCAGCTCGCGCTGCAGTTTGATCATCAGTGATATGATTAGCCTCGCTGTGCAGCTGCTGTGATGAACTGGAGCTATACGCTTACTGTATAGGTTGAGACGTTCATCTCTCAGGTTTAGATTAGCGGGTCAGGATCACTGAATCTGTGTGTGTGTGTGTAAGCATAGTTACATGCAACTTACCCGTCCCTAACCCTCTATAGCAAGTACATGTAGTAAATCAATATTACACAGTACTTACATCTATAATTACACTGTAACAACTAAGTGTATAATACATCATTCAGTTTATAAAACAAAGTTTCATTAATTGAACTTTATACATATATATGCTATGCTAAAATTTACTTTCATTCAGTTTTTGCATGTTTGTAGAAAAAGCTTTTTATTTAAATAAACTGTTTGCTAATATATAATTCCTAAATATATTCCAGGTCATTTTTATTTGTAGTTTTTTACGCTATTAAAGTATTCAAACTCAAAAAAAAAAAATTTGTAGACTATCTACTACTGTATGTACTTTACTGCCTTGCTTTACCCTGAGTTTCTTATCCTGTTTGTTGTGTGTGATGATACATGTATCCCCTGTGATCTTTGTTCAATTAAAAAACAAGTATTCAAACTCGCAGTTGAACCGAATCACTAAGAATCGAACACGTCCGGTGTTCGGTTCACTGAGAAGTTGAACCGTGCTCGGAACCGCACACTACTTTTATCACATCTTTCTATTAGCAGATATAGTAGTAACTTAAGCTAGTATGCGGTTCCGAGATAAGCATGAGTCCACAGTTGACTCTAGAACACAAGAACCGATTCACTAACAACTCGGAACCGATTCACTTAAAACGATCCAACTCAGAAGATTAGACGCTTTGCTTCTGCGTAACGCGCCACTCCAGCAACTCATGTGATTCGTTTGTAGTTTAGCGAGTGTCAAGGAAACAGAGCACAGCAGAAAAGCTTCTTTATGTATAATTTACAGCTGAAAACAGCCAAACCCAGATGTGTTTGTAGAACTCACCCAGAATGGCAGCTCGCGGCCGCATAGGAGCTCCATTGGCGCTGATGTTGATGGACCTCTTCCTAGCGCCGAGAGGATGTGGCGGCTTTTCTCTTCTCTTCTTTCAACTAAAACACAAGGTCATGGACGACACACACTCCACCGACGGACAGCCAGATAGTGTGTGTGTGTGTGTGTGTGAGTGTGTGTGGCCGGTCCCGACCCTCCTCCCCCCGTCCAGAACCGAGAGTGCATTAGAGACAGTCAGTCTGAGGTTGTCATGGCACGAGACTCCGCCCACTTTCTGCGCGCATGTTGCACGCGCGCGCGCGCTCGCGAGCAGAATTACAAATTAATTAAATAAAATTACAGGGCTACTGGAAACGTGTAGAGGAAAGCAGTGCAAAAACTGAATAAATAAAAACAAGATTAAACTAAACAAAAAAATACTTTTGAGACCGATACAAAATAATTTAAATAAATAAATGATAAATTAATACATTATATTAAAATTGATTAAAATGAATAAATACAATTTTATTTAAATATAAATAATTTAAATAAATAAATACATTAAATAAAATAATTTAATAAAATACATTTTATTAAAGTAAAAAAATACATTAACAAAATAATTTTGAAACAAATAAAAAATAGTTAAAATTAATAAATAATAAATTAATACATTATATTAAAATAAATAAATACAACTTTATTTAAATACAAATAAATTAATACATTAAGTTAAAATAAATTAACAAAATGTTATTTAAATAAATGTGATTAAACTAACTAAATAAATTTTAATCAAATAAAAAAGAATTCAAATAATAAATTAATACAATATATTAAAATAAATTGATTGAAATAATTTTTTTTTATTTAAATAAAAATAAATAAATACATCGATTAAATAATAAATTAATACATTATATTTAAATAAATTGAAATTATATAATTATATAAATAAAAAAATTAAAATAAGGTTAAACTAAGTAACTACTAAAATTAAATAAAATAATAAATAAATAGTATACGAGTAGAAAAATATGCAATGATGTAATGTAATAGTAACTAAATATTGTACAATATTGTATTGCACAACAAATTTATAATATTAATTTTCACATGCTAAAACAAATGGACAGTTTTCTTAAGGACATACGCAGAATTAGTTTTATTTTCAATAATTTTGTCCCTAAAATGATGCCTATAGGTCAGAAACACACACACAAATGATTTTTCTTTGGGGAAGACTTTGGAGACTTGATTAGTTAACATGAGCAAATGATGCACAAGACTATATTATAATATTAATGCATTAAATAATGCTTTGAAATTAGACCTTATTGTAGAGTGTAACCAGAGATATCTTTGACCGATCCCCAATGCATATGTGTGTTACAATGCTTCCATACATCGCAGGAAAAACCACACACACACACACACACACACACACATATATTTGCATTATTATTTATGCCCCAAAGGAAGATGATACTTACAAGACCTTCGTTTGCATTAATGCAAATTGTTGTCAGGTACATATATAGCATCATATTCATATAGGATCGTTGCTGGCACGAATCTGTAAATGTTGAACAGCATTTAGAAACCCAAAGGAAAGGCCTGTGTGTGTGTGTGTGTGTGTGTGTGTGTGTGTGTGTGTGTGTGTGTGTGTGTGTGTGTGTGTGTGTGTGTGTGTGTGTGTGTGTGTGTGTGTGTGTGTGTTTATCTCTCCATAAGTCTAACAGAATAACTATATATTGTTTTTAATCCACTGTTGTTGTTTTTTGCCTCCATTATTCTTCTTGACTGAAAGTCATTATAATTGTGAATCATAAGACAAAAAAACTGCTCTGAGTTGGGGAAACCCTTTAAAATATCAAGGGTTATTATCTAAAAAAAAAAACACCAATAACGTGAAGATAAAGCACACTATACAGCAAACACGTTCGAGGGCGAATGCTATAACACTCCAGAGAGATTGCTAACTCGTTGTGACTCAGCTTGGCTGTTGAAAATGTTTAATATGTTGTGTTTCTTGTGCAAAATGTGATGTTTTTCTCTTTTTGGGTGTCGCGCGCCCTCTAGTGGTTCCACACAGACGGCGGAATGATGTCAAACATGATTATTTTGGGGGGGTTTTTACCTTAAAAAGAATATCTAGAGAGTAAAACAGAGTTTGTGTCTGTGTGTCAGACAGTACAGGTAACCACACACAACATGCGGAGAGAAGTGTTTTACACTGACAATAAATACAGATGAGATAACCCAATATTATATTCTTTATTCTTTATTTCAAGGATAGCCCCTTGAGATGTACCATCTCATTTTCGAGAGGGTCCTTACAATAATGACAAACAAAACAAGATGATAAAGAGTAAATATTAGAGATAATTCCAAACACATACGTACAAAGACACACACACACACTCACACACCCACGCACACTCCAACAATGCTCCCTATATATATAAACACATGTAAATAAAAACACATAAGCCTGGGGTTTTCAGACTGGGGTCCAGAGAAAGGTTTAGAGAAAAGCAGTTTCATTTAAAAAAAAAAAGATTAATTTAACAAAATACATACATTTTAATAAAATAAAAAATGATAATAATAATAAATTAATACAATATATTAAAGTAAATTGATTAAAATAAATAAATAAAATGGTATTTAAATAAATAAAATAAAGGTGATTAAACTAAAAACAAATTAAATAAAAATAAGATTAAACTAACAAAATAAATACATTTGAATGAAATAAAATAAAAAATTAAAATAAATAATAAATGAATACATTGTATTATATTAAATTGAATTAAAATTAAAAAAATCTAATTAAACTAAAAACATAAATAATAAATAAATAACTGCAATTATTTAAATAAAATAATACATTAAATTAAAATAAATTAATAAAACTAATAAATGTGTATTTAAATAAATTGGAAAAAAATGTTAAACTAAAAAAATAAATAAAAATAAGATTAAACCAACAAAATAAATACATTTGAATAAAATAAAAAACATATTTAAAATAAATAAATAATAAATTAATACACACAGTAAAATGAATTGCTTAAAATAAATAAATAAATGTGTATTTAAATAAATAAAATCGAATTAAACTAAAAACACAAATAAAATTAAATAAAATTAATTGATTAAATTAAAATAAGATGTCAAGATAAACAGTCAGGCTTTATGCACAGCTTCACTACTTCCTGAACTTCAGCCAGCCCTTTGTTTCCTGTCTGTCATTATTGGACAAACTGATTAATCCAGGTGTGCCTGATTATTGTTACTGAGGCCAGGCACACCTGGATTAATCAGTTTGTCCAATGATGACAGACAGGAAACAAAGGGCTGGCTGAAGTTCAGGAAGTAGTGAAGCTGTGCATAAAGCCAATTCACGCGACACAAACCGAAGTGTTGTTTTCTCAGTTCGGCCACTAGATGGCGCGCGTGTCCACGCCCTGCTTAACCACGATAACTAGCTAGCTAACGACTTTCATAGTAACATGGACGCACCTCTATGGCAAGCCGTTTTAACTTTTATTCATTTCCAGGATATGAATTGTTGATATCAACAATTACATTTTTGATATCAACAATTACATTTTTTGATATCAACAATTACATTTTTTGATATCAACAATTGTATTTTCACTAGTGAAATGTCACCATAGACTGCCATTCAAAATCAATTGTTGATATCAAGAATTGATTTCTTACTAGTAGGAATATAATTTTTGATATCAATAATTACATTGTTACTAGTAAAAATGCGAATTCCTGATATCAATAATTAAATTATCACTAGTCTAAATGTCTATTCTTGATATCAACAACTGAATTGCTACTAGTAAAAATTTTCATTTTTGATATCTGAAAATGTATTTCTGATATCAATATTATTTCAGATATCTAAAATGGCTTTCTTACTAGTAACAATCACATTCATGATATCAGAAATTAAAATTGTCACTAGTGAAAATTGAATTATTGATATCAAAAATGAACATTGTTACTAGTAGCAATTCAATTGTTGATATCAAGAATAGACATTTCAACTAGTGACAATTTAATTCTTGATATCAAAAATAAAGGTTTTTACTAGTAAGAATTGTATTTCTGATATGTGAAATTGGAATTTCAACTAGTAAGAAATCAATTCTTGATATCAAAAAAAAAGGTTTTTACTAGTAAGAATTGTATTTCTGATATGTGAAATTGGAATTTCAACTAGTAAGAAATCAATTCTTGATATCAAGAATTGATTTTGAATGGCAGCCAAGCCGTTTTAACTTTTATTCATTTCCAGGATATGAATACTTGATATCAACAATTCAATTTTCACTAGTTAAAATTATAATTATTGATATCAGGAATAATATTTCTACTAGTAACAATGGCAATTTTTGATATCAGGAATTACATTTTCACTAGTAACAATGCTAATTCTTGACATCAACATTTACATTTTCACTAGTTAAAATGATAATTCTTGATATCAACAATTGAATTGTTGATATCAAAAATGTAATTGTTGATATCAAAAATGTAATTGTTGATATCAAAAAATGTAATTGTTGATATCTAAAATGTAATTGTTGATATCAAGTATTCATATCCTGGAAATGAATAAAAGTTAAAACGGCTTGCCTAGCCTATGGTGACATTTCACTAGTGAAAATACAATTACAGATATCAAGAATTATAGTTTTTACTAGTTGCAATTCAATTGTTGATATCAAGAATTATCATTTTAACTAGTGAAAATGTAAATGTTGATGTCAAGAATTAGCATTGTTACTAGTGAAAATGTAATTCCTGATATCAAAAATTGCCATTGTTACTAGTAGAAATATTATTCCTGATATCAATAATTATAATTTTAACTAGTGAAAATTGAATTGTTGATATCAAGTATTCATATCCTGGAAATGAATAAAAGTTAAAACGGCTTGCCATATTCTGTCGTTTGTTCGAGATCGCAAGTAATGTATTTAATATATAAGTATAGTTACTTTACACAAACAACAGAAACCCGTTCATTGTTAGCCAAGTTAACCTGCCGTGTTTGGTATAAACTTACTCTTAGTCAGAAGTTTTCTTGTTTCTTGTAGCGATCTGAGGACTTCAATGTTTTTTAGTTCCATGTCGTTTTGTTTTGTTTGACTCTTCGCGGGAGTTCTACGTAATACGCCGGGGTTCCCTTACGCATTTACGCGCATGCGCAGACTTCAAAAACATGTGGATGGATGGATAGACAGGGACGAACGATAGATAGATAGATAGATAGATAGATAGATAGATAGATAGATAGATAGATAGATAGATAGATAGATAGATAGATAGATAGATAGATAGATAGATAGATAGATAGATAGATAGATAGATAGATGGATAGATAGATAGATAGATAGATAGATAGATAGATAGATAGATAGATAGATAGATAGATAGAGATGGATAGATAGATAGATAGATAGATGGATAGATAGATCGATAGAAAGCTTAAAAAAATTGTCTCAATGTCTTAGAAATAGTAGATAGAAAAGCTTAACTGATTCTACATGATCCTCTCCAACGGTCAACATTTGAGTTTTGACAGTTGGAGTTTGAACAGTCTCTTGGCTCATGTGAATATTCCGTCAATGAAAGTCTATGGGATTTTCCGAGTTTTGATCGTCATTTTTAGAAAAACCAGTAAGTCGGACCAGTCTGAAAAGATAAAGCGCACTAAACCAGAACAGTCTGAAGATCTTGTCTGAGTTTGGTGGGTGTAGCTTGAGGCTAAGAGTAGTAGAATTGAGAAATCTCAGAAGAAGAAAAAGCTTTTTCAAGCCAACTTAATGATAGAAGATACTTTTTTTTTTCTGAAATAAGTCATAAACTTGTCCATATACAAGTCATAAGTCATAAACAGGTCCATAATCAGCAGCACATTCCGGCCAGTTAGCCTGTAGTGTCTCAACACACACTAAAAACCCTACCTAGACACCTAGACATCATGAGTGTGGGCATCACAGGCGCGCGCAGCATTTTTCCCCGGGAACGCGCCCGTGATGCCCACAAGTGCTGCCTACGTAGACAGATGATCAGATCTGCGTGTTTGAGAAGCAGAACTATAGACACGCAGAGCAGAAACCCGTTCAGTGTTGACCTGAAGAGTGAGGAGTTCATATCGCCTCTGGAATACTGTTGGCCGGTTCATATGATGCGCGCGCAGCTCGAGCGCGAACGTCATTCTAACGGACCCGTTACTTACTAGACGACAGCTGATGACGGGAACGATGATCGGGCACGAGCGAAGTTTACCGGGTTTACCGGCCAGCGCGTCCCGTAGGAGACTCTCACGGGTCGGGAGGAAACACAGCAATGGATCCGTCCAGTGAGTTCACTTATAAAGTTATTAAAGGACTGATTTGTCATTCATAAGCTACCCCTTTGATATTATATATATATATAATCAAAGCAAAGCAATATTCTAAAAAATGCTGGGTTGTTTTAACCCATTTTTGGGTAAAATATGGACAAACCCAGCCGTTGGGTTGAATTTTTCTATTACACATTTTTAACCTAACGTTTTGGGTTTGTCCATATTTGACCCAAATAGGGTTAAAACAACCCAGCATTTTTTTAGAGTGTGATTTTAGGTCTCTTACAAACTTTTTTCCATATGAAGGTCACACACGTGTAAACATTTTATACCTTACTTCTGATTATTTTAAAAATGCCTTTTATGAGTTTTACACTTGTTCCATGCAGTACCAGACTTTCTATTTAAAATGAAAAAAAAAAAGTTTCTTATATTTTAAAAAGCCATGCTTTAAACAAAGTGCAAAATAAACATGAATCATTTATTGTGTTAAAATTATTTATATGATTATGAATATTACACAAATCACAACCGCCCCACAGTTGCGGCTTCATTTCCGCCACAATAAACTATTTTGCAGTACTAAGTTTTGAAACTAAGTTTGATCATAACTTTGAAAAAAGTCAGTGAAGAACTTGAGACTAACCATTAGTCGTTTAATGCATGAGTATATTTTATTGTGCATCATTTCTAGTCAAGTTGTTTAAAATGTTATTTCCACCACATCATATTCCAAATTCAATATTGAGATGGAAATGACACTGATGTAGTGAAAGGATGTCTCATGTTTTGTTCTTCATACACTGTTGGACATTGTTATTAAACAAGTGGTCATGTGAAAAGTATGTTTTAAGTTAGTTAGTTTAATTCTGTTTGTCGTAGAGCAGAAATGTGTCTGGTATCATACATAAATCCATAAATATGAATAAATTGAACAGAATTATACTATATATAATTCCTTGAAAAATTTCCAAACATCCCACAATAATATTACAAAGCTTAATCAGAACAATCAATTATAAATGCGCCATAATACCAACTATTCCCTTGGAAGAAATAAACAAGAGTGAGGTTAGAGATTTTATTTATGGCCCAAAAGATGAAGAAACACACATTTAATACTGACGCAATGAAAAGGAGCTTTTGTGCCACTGCTACTGAAATACAGGATTTAGACAAAATCCTCAAAGTATTATAAAGGTATTAAGAGGAACTACGCATTTTCACATTGCCGTTCATTAGTGATGGACAGCCAGATTAAAGGGATAGTTCACCCAAAAATGAAAATTAGCCCATGATTTACTCACCCTCAAGTCATAGGTGTATATGACACTCTTCTTTCAGACGAATACAATTGGAGTTTTGAAGTCCATAAAATTGCATCTGTCCATCATAAAAGTGCATCTATCCATCATAAAAGTGCATCTGTCCATCATAAAAGTCCATCTATCCATCATAAAAGTGCATCTATCCATCATAAAAGTCCATCTATCCATCATAAAAGTCCATCTATCCATCACAAAAGTGCATCTATCCATCATAAAAGTCCATCTATCCATCATAAAAGTGCATCTATCCTTCATAAAAGTGCATCTGTCCTTCATAAAAGTGCATCTATACATCATAAAAGTGCATCTATCCATCATAAAAGTCCATCTATCCATCATAAAAGTGCATCTATCCATCATAAAAGTCCATCTATCCATCATAAAAGTCCATCTATCCATCATAAAAGTGCATCTGTCCATCATAAAAGTCCATCTGTCCATCATTAAAGTGCATCTGTCCATCATAAAAGTGCATCTGTCCATCATAAAAGTGCATCTGTCCATCATAAAAGTGCATCTGTCCTTCATAAAAGTGCATCTGTCCATCATAAAAGTGCATCTGTCCATCATAAAAGTGCATCTGTCCTTCATAAAAGTGCATCTGTCCATCATAAAAGTGCATCTGTCCTTCATAAAAGTGCATCTGTCCATCATAAAAGTGCATCTGTCCATCATAAAAGTGCATCTGTCCATCATAAAAGTGCATCTGTCCTTCATAAAAGTGCATCTGTCCATCATAAAAGTGCATCTGTCCTTCATAAAAGTGCATCTGTTCATCATAAAAGTGCATCTGTCCTTCATAAAAGTGCATCTGTCCATCATAAAAGTGCATCTATACATCATAAAAGTGCATCTATACATCATAAAAGTGCATCTATCCATCATAAAAGTCCATCTATCCATCATAAAAGTGCATCTGTCCTTCATAAAAGTGCATCTGTCCTTCATAAAAGTGCATCTGTCCTTCATAAAAGTGCATCTGTCCATCATAAAAGTGCATCTGTCCATCATAAAAGTGCATCTGTCCATCATAAAAGTGCATCTGTCCATCATAAAAGTGCATCTATCCATCATAAAAGTCCATCTATCCATCATAAAAGTGCATCTGTCCTTCATAAAAGTGCATCTGTCCTTCATAAAAGTGCATCTGTCCTTCATAAAAGTGCATCTGTCCATCATAAAAGTGCATCTATCCATCATAAAAGTGCATCTGTCCTTCATAAAAGTGCATCTGTCCATCATAAAAGTGCATCTGTCCATCATAAAAGTGCATCTGTCCATCATAAAAGTGCATCTATCCATCATAAAAGTGCATCTGTCCATCATAAAAGTGCATCTGTCCATCATAAAAGTGCATCTATGCATCTATCATAGATGGGTGAGTAAATCATGGGTCATTTTGGGTGAACTATGCCTTTAAAGCAGTGCAGGTTTGCATCGAGTTGATCCGTTTGCTTCCCTCCTCCAGGTCGAGCTCATCCAGCGGTACGGGCAGATCCACGGAGAGCGTCGGGATCCGACAACCGGCCAAGAACAAGATCCGGCGTCAGCGTCTGTCGGCTGTGTTCGGCCGCGGCCCTCGTAGAGACTCGGCTGAGGTGGCAGACGATCCCTCAGAACTGTCCAATCAGGTCTCGGCTCCCGGCATCCTGAAGATCTTCGGGACTGAAATTTGCGAAGGAGCGAATTACAAGAGCGTTCTGGCCACGACACACTCCAGTGCCAAAGAGCTGGTCAAAGAGGCTCTGGCCAGGTGAGCAGTCAGAACCCAGACAGCAACACAGTGTCGGCCCAGATCCGGGCCACACACACTCTAAAAGACACTGGGTTAAAAACAACCCAATATTGGGGTTGTAAGACCGAACACATGTTTGGTTAATTTTACCCAGTAAAATGGGTTGTTTATTTAACCCAGCATACTGGGTTGATTAATTTTTACTATAATACTAGCTTTTTTCTTTCTTTTTTACTTCATACATGAATTAATGTTTACAGATTAACTTGAATCCTCTAAACTAAAAAAAAAAAAAAAAAACTCCACACAAACACTGGTTTGCACGATCATTACTTTATTTTTTATCATATTTTACAGTATATTTTAAATAGTTTTGAATTATTATTGCATACGTTTAAGCTCGTTTAACAAATATTAGAAGTAAAAATTGAAAAAAATTTAGCGCTGGATCTCGTGCCGGAGCTTGTGTCATGTTCATGAACTTCTAACTTCAGGCGCCGCCCTGCGTTTCACTCGTAGCAGGAATATGCAGCGACCGGCTCCATAGCCTGTCTGTAAACAATCAGTGTACAGTTCTGAGAACATATTTTAACTTTATAAGCATTTATATTCTGTATGTTTTTTGAATAAAATTATAAAATTTAATTCAAGGCATCAGGCGTTTCCATCCAACGCGAAAAGACCAAAGCCCGCGATAAATAACTCAACCCCTGGGTTGTTATATCTGACCTAGGATCTGGGTAACACAAAAGCTACCCAAACACTGGGTTGTTACGTCTGACCCAGGATCTGGGTTACACAAAAACTACTTAAACACTGGGTTGTTACGTCTGACCCAGGAGCTGGGTAACACAAAAACTACCCAAACACTGGGTTGTCACGTCTGACCCAGGATCTGGGTAACACAAAAACTACCCAAACACTTGGTTTTTACGTCTGACCCAGGATCTGGGTTACACAAAAACTACCCAAACACTGGGTTGTTACGTCTGACCCAGGAGCTGGGTAACACAAAAACTACCCAAACACTTGGTTTTTACGTCTGACCCAGGATCTGGGTTACACAAAAACTACCCAAACACTGGGTTGTTACGTCTGACCCAGGATCTGGGTTACACAAAAACTACCCAAACACTGGGTTGTTACGTCTGACCCAGGAGCTGGGTAACACAAAAACTACCCAAACAAGTCAAGTCAAGTCACCTTTATTTATATAGCGCTTTTTACAATACAGATTGTATCAAAGCGCTTCACAGTGATAACATGAAAACAATATAACAAAAACAATATAACAATATAACAAAAATAATATTATTGAATATTAAATGTCCCCAACTAAGCAAGCCAAAAGCCAAGGCAACAGTGGCAAGGAACCAAAACTCCATCAAGTGACAGAATGGAGAAAAAAACCTTGGGAGAACCCAGACTCAGTCGGGGGGCCAGTTCTCCTCTGGCCAACGGAGGAACAGTGCATGATTCGGGCAGCATTACAAGTCAGATTGGAATCGGAACAGTTAGAGTATTTATCCATTTCCATCTTTTGGAAGTCCAAGTAATCACACCGGTATTAAGACGAGTTGTGTCCATATCGCCCGTGTTGAGTCGTCACTTCACAGGCTTTGTGATTGGGGCATCTGAAGTCTCCGTGAGAGGCTGGATACAAACTGGGGCTGACGAACGCCATTTTCTCGGGACTCGCGTCCCGAGATAACAGCAGAAAAGCAAAAAGGGAAAATAATTAGCGTAGCTGCTGTTCATAATGATGATTTCCATAACACAGGCGTAAAAGACAAAACATGAAGACAGTGACTCTTGCATCCCAAAATCACCCCCCTCCGTCCCCCACTCAACTCAGCCCAGCTTACTGACCTCTACGTCCCTCCTGCTGCTGAGACCTAACCACAATCTCACAATCTCTCCGCAACCCAACCATACGCGCCAACCCGTTGACTAAGGCTGTCGAGCCCCACTGATGCGTGAATAGGCAGTTTCAGTGGACAACGGTTCCGTATGGCATACCACCTACCGCAACACAATATCTGCCCAACCACCCGTCATTCACGCAATACACAGGAACGTAATGACTGTAAATACTATGCAACCTATACAAATAACCTACAGTCTCTTCAAGTTTTATAGTATTAAATGCATTTGATCTGATTCAGCAGTGGTATAAGAGGTAAGCATTATGTAAATGCTTGGCTAAAGAGATGCGTCTTTAATCTGGTTTTAAACACTGGGTTGTCACTACCCAAACACTGGGTTGTTACGTCTGACCCAGGAGCTGGGTAACACAAAAACTACCCAAACACTGGGTTGTCACGTCTGACCCAGGATCTGGGTTACACAAAAACTACCCAAACACTGGGTTGTCACGTCTGACCCAGGATCTGGGTTACACAAAAACTACCCAAACACTGGGTTGTTACGTCTGACCCAGGTGCTGGGTTACACAAAAACGACTCAAACACTGGGTTGTTACGTCTGACCCAGGAGCCGTGTAACACAAAAATAACCCAAACACTGATAAAAATAACGGATCTGGGCCGACACTGTGTTGCTGTCTGGGAAGCCAAAAGACTAAGTAAATTATTCAGCAGTATTATTGATTTGACTGCACTGACACTGTAGAGCTGCTTATTTAATTTATATAATTTGAATTTGTCTTATATTTGATTTCTGTTTGTTACAGTAAAGATGCTTTGAAACAATTTCTAAAGAATTTCTTAAGCACTATATAAATAAAGGTGACTTGACATATATTTAGGTTCATATGAAATATAAAGAACTGATAATATTAAAGTCGTGAGGAAGTTGCGCTGGTCTTTTACTCTCTATTGTGTCGTATATCGAGTGAAACGCTTCAGGAGCAAGAACAAATGTGGGCGGGGCTTGATTGTGTCTGTGGGGAATTGATTGGATGGTTGTGGTTTGCTATTGGCTGATCTCATGTGAGTGACAGGTTAAAGCCCCGCCCACATCATCAGAGAAGAGAAGAGAAGCTGCAAGAGGAACTTATTCTGATTCAACATTATTAAAACAATAATGATAAATCATTCTGCAAAGTTCCATTAAAAAAAATTGTTATGATGTGGTGAGGAACGAACCCAAGTGCAGACAGCGAGTAACTCAAACAAGGTTTAATGACGATAAAACAGAAAGCAAAAACCCACGATGGGGCAAAAACAAGACAGGATAAACTGATACTACTACAAACACGACTTTCAACAGGAACTCACAACTCGAACGATAAACATGGAACTCGAGACAAGTATCACAGGTTTCACAAGGCTTTGACAAGGTTAGACAGTCAACATTGATTAGACAATGAACCAACAAAAGACAGCGAGAACACAGGGATTACATAGGGAACACTAATGACCAAGACAGGTGATACTAATTATACAATGATGACAAGACAGGGGCCGTTTCTCAATATGCGTTCTTGTCTGTACTTGTGTTCTTGTGGACTTGTGAAACGTCATCAGTCACTGCCCAAGTACTGTTCCAATTCAAAGTTCACATCTAGCCAAGTCCAGTTCAAATCCCCGGATGTGTTCTTGATCCGCCCCGTTTACCGAGGATGCATCGAGAGGTGACTTGTGCGGACTTGAGACAGCCAGGTATCCCAGAATGCATCTCGCACCAACCAGCAAGCGTCAATAGCAGAGGAGAAAACCCGCGTAATATCAAAATACTACTGTTATTGTGTCATGAAATGTAATTTTAAGAAGATTTCAGGCGAGAATGTGGTTGTTTAAAGCTTAAATCTGTGGTTTATTTATAAAGATAGCGCCTATTTGAAAAATGTATCTGATGTTTTCGGAGTTGTGACATCCAGGCGTTCACCGCGGGTGTTCAACGCTCATCAACCCCGACTGGAACAGCCTTTCCTCGGCTAGTGCTTGACGTTTGCCGCTGGCTCTGATGTCTCTAGTCTAGTGGATAAACTTGACGTATAATTCGTCTTGTGTATAAGTCGATCTTTGGTCTCATTAAACTATTGTTTGTTCCATGGCAAAAAAATCGTTTTGGCTGAGGGCAAAGTGAAGTTTCATAACTTTATATATTTAGGCTATTTAACTTTAACTTTGTAGCCTATTAGAGAGCTTACTTATGTTTGAATTGTTTGCCTTATTTATCATTGTAGATATTATTGATCTTTAAAACTGACATTTAACAAAAAGAGACAGGGTTGTGTAATTTTATTTTATATACTTAAAAAAAAAAAAAAATATATATATATATATATTTATATTTATTTTAACATTCTCTTCACTATATGTACAATAAAATAAAATGACACAACGTACCCTGTCTCTGTTTGTTAAATGTCAATAAAAATCAATAATGTTTCCTATTTTTAAAATGAAAACAAAAAGATCATGTTCATGTTGTTATAAATAAATAAATGCAGTGAAGATGTACGCGTTGCCTGAACCACATGGCCATTAGGCTACTATGTTTAAGATTTTTAAATGAAAAGAGGCAGAGTGGTGTTTTATAACATATTTCGTTTTATTGTTGACGAAAAGAGGCAGAGTTGTCGCATATTTCGTTTTATTGTTGCCTAAAATATACATAAAGAGATAACCGGAGTAGCCAGAGCGCGCTGAGTGACGCGATCAAGAACGCACTGTTCCATTTGCAGAATAACCGGACTCGCGTCCTCTCGTCCTCGGGAGTTCGTTCTCCTGAGTCGAACTTGGCAAGTCCGAACTACCAAGGACGCAAGTCCGAAGTTTGCGTACTTGGTATTGAGAAACGGCCAGGGATGACAAGGGGGACGGAGACTGGAAACGAGACAACACAAGCACATGACCAAAACACAAGGCCATGTGCTTGCACACAGAACATGGGTCTGTCATGATCCTGCCGCAATACTAGAAAATGACGGACATGATGGCAGAATCATGACAAAAATAAGAATTGACTATTTTGATTTCATGGTGACTTTAAATTTATAATGCTCTTGCTGTTATGAACAAAACCACCTGAAGGTTTTCTGAAGGCTTTTGGAAAACAGCCTTTGTGCAGATTGGTTAAATTTTAAACTGCATGTGACGGTTTCATACCAAAAGTCTCGACTGGTTTGGAGAATTTGGAAATTCAAGGCGACATTAATTCTTTGGTGAATGCAAGCCAATTTGGATAGAAAGCTGCGTCAGCACAGAAACTCCTCTGTTCTTTCCTAATTCTACAACTAGAATGTGTGTGTGTGAAAGTGCCTGTGTTTTTCCAAGATCTTAATGTCTGTTTGTTTTTTGAACGAGATTAATACTGTTATTCAACAAGGACACATTAAATTGATCAAAAATGACAGTAAAAACATTTATAATGTTACAAAAGATTCTATTTCAGATAAATGCTGTTCTTTTGATTGACTTTCTATTAATCAAAGAATCCTGAAAAATAAAATGTATCACGGTTTCCACATAATAAATGTTTCTTGATCATCAGATCCTCATATTAGAGTGATTTCTGAAGGATCATGTGACACTGAAGACTGGAGTAATGATGCTGAAAATTCACTTTATATAACGCATATAACTGAGAAATAAAGTCAGAATTGCGAGATGTAAACTTGCAATTGTGAGATAAAAAGTCGCAATTATCTTTTAAAATGTTTTATTCTGTGGCGGAAACAAGCTTCATAGAAAACATCTGTTTCACATTGCAATAATATTTCACTGTTTTGACTGTATTTACAGCCTTGGTGAGCAGACTCTTTCAGACACATTAAAACCCTGAACCCCAACAGTAGTGTATGTGTATGTGTGTATCCTATCAGCTGCTCTGCTGTTTGTATTGTTTCAGATACTCCCTGAGCAAAGAAGAATCTGATGAGTATGTGTTGTGTGACGTGATCGGCTGTGTGGAGAGCCAGCGCTGGAGGACTGAATGTGTTCGTGTGGTTGGAGACGATGAGAAGCCGCTCTTGCTGCAGTCGCTCTGGAAGCCCAGAGAAGGTTTCGCTCGCCGATTTGAGATCCAGCGCAAGGCCACAGTGGAAGAAAACAACTCTAAAGACAAAGACACGGTGACCGCTGGTAAACCTCACTATAATCACTTCTGCACTGAAGATGTTTGGTGTTTTGGGCCACTAAAATGCTATATTTTACGCATGCATTGGTGTATTGGTACCAAAATTGGTGCGTGTCTTCGGCATGATGCCTTGAAGGTACTCAAAAAGTTTTGGGATAGCGCCACCTTGTGGTGAAAAGATCACACCTTAAGTTTGATGAGGCCCGCTGATTGAGAACTGTTAAATCCACATAGAACATTTTCTTCTAAACCACATGATGTTTAAAGTCTCCCTGTAGTCAATCATTTTATCCATTAAAACTCATCTTTGATCACCAAAATGACATATTTCAAAGTTTTTTCCTTGAAAAAATAGCCTTGACTTAAAATATCTTGACTGTAACTCGACACCCTCGCCTCATTTAGTATGCGCGGTTCTATGAATATGCAAATGAGCCCCGCCTCCACTCACTCACTCAGCTCAGAGATCCACTGGTTGACGATCACACGTTGATCTGATTGGTTACAAGGTGGTTTGTGACGTCAGAAACACCAGCGATTTCAAACCGTGTTTTTGAGACTGTCTTTGGTTCAATGCAGTTTTAAGCAGAAAATACTCAGCAATGCTGTCGACTTATGAACTCACACATGGTGTGTCTTAAAGCACATTAAAAACACCACATAGACACATAAACAACATTAAAAGCTGGATTTTCACCACTTTAATACTTTCAATGTCTCCTTCTCCAGGCATAAACGCACAGGCGCGGAAGCTGCAGAAGACTCGCTCCCGTGGGAGATCGGTCCGGCTGGATGATGGAAAACACAATATGTTTAAGAGTCTCAGCGAGACGAACCTGAGAGTCGAGGCTCACACACACCTCACGGAGGATCCAGAGGCCGAGGTCTACAAACACACACAGTGTCCCGCTGGTGAGCGCGAGGAGACGGAGAGCAGCGATGACACCGACACACAGTTTTCCATTCATCCGCCTCTGGATTTTCCCTACTTTCTGCTTCTGCAGGGCTTCAGTTACACACAGGTAGGACAGACTCACACTACATCGCTCACACTTCCTCGTCCTCTCCTCCAGCCCAACAAACACTTTTTCTGGAATTATATGCCGTTTTTATCACTAGCTGTGTTTACATCCATCTACTTTTATTCTTTTCGGTAACACTTTACTCGAAGGGGTGTGCCATAAGACTGACATGACACATGTCATGAATATGAAGAAGGTTTCATGCATGTTTATGACAACTGTCATTAAGTGTCATTTGCTCAATTATGACATTTGTAATGCAAATATGACATTGTTTGAGATGTCTTTGTCATGACAACTTGACATTACTAAGACAACACAACCTGTCATAAATATGTCATAAACATGACATAGCAGATTAATCATCAAACTTAAGAAACCAGTTAGCTTTATGGGTTAACATTACATTAAACTGTCATGTGGTTGGTTTTGACATTGGCTGTCATGAGGCCATTATAAATTTAATGTGTACCACTGTAGTTGAGGTCAAGAAAAATATTCATGACACAGTTATAATGCCTCATGACAGCCAATGTCAAAACCAACCACATGACAGTTTAATGTAATGTTAACCCATAAAGCTAAGAGGCTTCTTAAAGGGGTCATATAATGCCATTTTTGTACAAGCTAATATGATTCTTTAGGGTCTAAATTAAAAGTTTGTAATATACTTTAATAAAAAATTCTCATTAGTATTGTAAGAAAACACTTATTTTACCTGGTCAAAAACAGCTCTGTTTTCAGCACGCCGTTTCAGTGCATATGCCTTTAAATGATAATGAGCTTTGCTGACCCCGCCTCTCTGTTCTGTGCGTACACCGTTTGTAACACAATAACACAATAACCATAACGCGTTGTTCAGTATAAACGTGGAATTATGAATTATATTAAGAACGTCATACATAGAAAACATGCCGTAATGTACCCTGACTGAGTGTAAACCTTAGACGCATTCATTGTGAAGCGTGCAGCTAGCGATTTGCAAAGATTAATATATTAATATAAAGTTTAATAAAAACGTTTCACTCACTTCCGTTCTTCTGGAGGTTCAGCAGGAACACGAATATCTGGTACCGATCCTTTTTAGCAAAGCTTCTTAGCAAATCCAGCTTTATACTGACCCTCGTTTATAAAGCAGTCTGGTGTGTGAAATGATTCGCGCAAACATGAGAGCATTGACGTTGCTCGTGGGGAATATTCCCTTCGAAAACAAACTCAGCCACTGCGTCTTCAGCGGTTCGGATTCAGGAACATTAAAATGACTGTGTTCGTTATTACACCCAAGAACAGAACACCACAATCGCTTAGACGCCATTCTGCTCATAGACAGTGCTCCAGCATATCAACAATGACCGCGCCGGTCCGGTCCGCGCCGCGCAGACTATGATTGACAGCTACCTCATGTGCGAGGGCGGGTCTGTGTTGAAACGCTCCCGTCAATCAACAATCGTGGGAGGGGCGTCCGTTTTATTGACGTCACAAAAACGAACGGCTGGATTTGAGGCAAGGGAAAACATATAAGGAGATTAAAACAAAACCACTGGATGGATTTTTATCATTATATGATGTTTGTGTACAGGCACTGCCAACACACATTTCAGTACAATCAACTTGTAAAAGTGCATGTACCATTATATGACCCCTTTAAAGGAGTAGTTCACTTTTAAAAAAACTTTTGCTGATAGTTTACTCACCCCCATGTCATCCAAGATGTCCATGTCTTTCTTTCTTCAGTCGAAAAGAAATTAAGGTTTTTGATGAAAACATTCCAGGATTTTTCTCCATATAATGCACTTTGCTGGGCACCAAACGGTCCAAGGTCCAAAAGACAGTTTCAGTGCAACCTGCAAACTGTTCAAAGGGGTTTAAACGATTCCAGACGATGAATAAGGGTCTTATCAAGCGAAACGATCGGTCATTTCAAAAATAAATAACAAAGTTTAAGTTTAATAATGTCAAATGCTCGCCTTTCTCTGTTCTGTGATGCACGTTCGTGACTCTCCTGTTCGAACTCGTTCATCAAAATGAACAAATCTTTTTTCGAGTCATTTGATTCATTTAACGACCGAAATGAATGAATTGACTCGGAAAAAGATTCGTTCATTTTGATGAACGAGTTCGAACAGGAGAGTTACACAGAACAGAGCAAGGCGAGCATTTGAGCTTATAAAACTTAAACTTTTCTTTTTTTTTTTTTAAATGAGCGATCGTTTCGCTTGATAAGACCCTTATTCATCGTCTGGTGTCATTTAAAACCATTTGAACAGTTTGCAGTTTGCGCTGAAACTGTCTTTTGGACCTTGAACCGTTTGGACCCCATTGAAGTCCATTAAATGGAGAAAAATCCTGGAATGTTTTCATCAAAAACCTTAATTTCTTTTCGACTGAAGAAAGAAAGACATGGACATCTTGGATGACATGGGGGTGAGTAAATTATCAGCAAAAGTTTTTTTTAAAGTGAACTAATCCTTTAAGTTTGATGATTAATCTGCTATGTCATGTTTATGACATGTTTATGACATGTTTATGACAGGTTGTGTTGTCTTAATAATGTCAAGTTATCATTAACAAGACACTGACAGGTTATGATGTATTGGTTTATGTCAAGTTGTCATAACAAAGACATCTCAAACAATGTCATATTTGCATTAAAAATGTAATAATTGAGCGTAATAATAATAATGTATATAATAAAGCGTAATGTAATAATTTGATTCTCTTACACCATAATTTTAACTTCTGTAGCAAAATGAACTTCAGTTTCATGTTTGATGCTGTTAGTTATAAATCTGTGCTGTTAAACTACAGAATTATAGGGATTTTCACTCTTTTTGTTTTGTTTTAGGATCATAATTCAGTCACTGATCAGATTTTACAATCTTACAATCACAATGATACACTCCCTTTAAACGGCATAATACAACACAGGTGACGTCAATGCACCGTGGAAAAGAATGATCCCATATCCCTTCGATTCCACTGGAAAATAACAGAATGTGCCAAACAGAGGAAAAATGGCATGAAAACTGACCACGTATGTAAAAACAGGCCCAGTGTTGGACAGGAAGTGATGCGTCCAGAGACTGAACACATTTCCTGACAGATTATCTGTGTATACGGAGTGATGATCGGCCGTAAATGATAAAACAGATACATGCACACACACACACGCACATACACTCGCGCACACACACACACACACACACACACACACACACACACACTCACACACCCACTCACTCCGACACACACACACACACACACACACACACGCACATGCACTTGCGCACACACACACACACACACACACACGCACATACACTCGCGCACACACACACACACACACACACTCACACCCACTCACTCCGACACACACACACGCACATACACTCGCGCACACACACACACACACACACACACACACTCACACCCACTCACTCCGACACACACACACACACACACACACACGCACATGCACTTGCGCACACACACACACGCACATACACTCGCGCACACACACACACACTCACACCCACTCACTCCGACACACACGCACATGCACTTGCGCACACACACACACACACATACACACACACACTCACACCCACTCACTCACACACACTCACACACACGCACATACACTCGCGCGCACACACACACACACACACACACTCACACCCACTCACTCACACACACACTCACACACACGCACATACACTCGCGCGCACACACACACACACTCACACCCACTCACTCACACACACACACTCACTCACGTACACACACGCACATGCACTTGCGCACACACACACACACACACTCACACCCACTCACTCACACACACACACTCACACACTTACATACACACACGCACATGCACTCGCGCACACACACACACACACTCTTACACTCACTCACACACACACACTCTCACACACATACACATTTCTCAAACCATCTAAAAGTAATATTTTTGACTTCACTGAAACCAGTTTTTATATTTTATATCAAATTATCTTTTTAACTGGAGGAAACTCTTTAGACGCATTCCCTTTATTGTATTGAATGTGCACTAATAATCTTAAAATGTATCTGTATTTAAATAGCACCTTTGGCTTAAATGACAACATGTTGACAAATTAAGTATTTATTACACGGCTCTGTGGAATACTTGATTCTGATTGGTCAATCGTATATTATTCCCCGATAACAGCCGCTGAGAGCAGAAACACAGGCTCAAAGGCTCACTGAAGTCCTCAGCGCTATACATATAATATACACTCGCTAGGAACAGTTTTTCCTAATGGAAGTTTTGCATTTGGTGAGCTAATAAAATATTAAAACTCAGTCAAATCAATATTTTGTGTACAGGTTTTTAATTATGCCATCCAGTATCGTGGACTCGCTCTCTCTTGTTTCATACAAACGCAGCGGCGGCCATTTTGTGACTATTGTTTTGTCCACTGTTGGATTATAGGATAACAAACAGGTATGATTTTAAAACAGTTTAATCTGAAATCAATATATATCTTATCCTCATAATTATGTATGTGGTGAAATGCAGTGTAATAAGTGTTATGACTGTATACCGTATCTCTTAAATGTTCGTCTAGTTGAACTTGCGCCGCTGAAACTGCTCTCTCCGCGAAGCTTTGCGTTTAAAGACCTAATAAAATATTAAGACTCAAATCAATATTTTGTGTCTAATTATTTACTCATGTGGCAAGTAGCCGTGCAATAAGCGGGATAATGAACATCCAGCCGGTTGTTATCTCAGAATAAACCCCTTCAGGTGTGTGTGTGTGTGTGTGTGTGTGTGTGTGTGTGTGTGTGTGTGTGTTATCTCAGAATAAACCCCTTCAGGTGTGTGTGTGTGTGTGTTATCTCAGAATAAACCCCTTCAGGTGTGTGTGTGTGTATTATCTCAGAATAAACCCCTTCAGGTGTGTGTGTGTGTATTATCTCAGAATAAACCCCTTCAGGTGTGTGTGTGTGTGTGTGTGTGTGTGCATTATCTCAGAATAAACCCCTTCAGGTGTGTGTGTGTGTGTGTGTGTGTTATCTCAGAATAAACCCCTTCAGGTGTGTGTGTGTGTGTGTGTGTGTTATCTCAGAATAAACCCCTTCAGGTGTGTGTGTGTGTGTGTGTGTGTGTTATCTCAGAATAAACCCCTTCAGGTGTGTGTGTGTGTGTGTGTTATCTCAGAATAAACCCCTTCAGGTGTGTGTGTGTGTGTGTTATCTCAGAATAAACCCCTTCAGGTGTGTGTGTGTGTGTGTGTGTGTGTGTGTGTTATCTCAGAATAAACCCCTTCAGGTGTGTGTGTGTGTGTGTGTGTGTTATCTCAGATTAAACCCCTTCAGGCTGATGAAGACCTGATCCTGATCCCCCTGTCGGGTTTATTCAGAGATAACAACCGGCTGGATGTACTCCTTGTCTCCTCAGGATTTTGTCATCTATCCCCTGATCAACAGCAGCTCAGTGTTCGGACGGCGTGTCGATCCGACCGAGTGCGAGAGCGACTCAGAACGCCTGGATCTCTGGGCTCCGGATCTGCTTCCTCGCCACTGTCTCGTCCGACGCCTCGACGTGAAACCCGAGATGCTCCTGAAACCCGAGACGCTCCCGAAACCCGAGACGCTCCTGAAACCCCTCGACGTGAAACCCGAGACGCTCCTGAAACCCGAGACGCTCCCGAAACCCGAGACGCTCCCGAAACCCGAGACGCTCCCGAAACCCCTCGACGTGAAACCCGAGACGCTCCTGAAACCCCTCGACGTGAAACCCGAGACGCTCCTGAAACCCGAGACGCTCCCGAAACCCGAGACGCTCCCGAAACCCGAGACGCTCCTGAAACCCCTCGACGTGAAACCCGAGACGCTCCTGAAACCCGGAGACGTGAAACCCGAGACGCTCCTGAAACCCGGAGACGTGAAACCCGAGACGCTCCTGAAACCCCTGACGCTCCTGAAGCCGCTCACCGGAGCCGGAGTGACGAGGAACGGATCCGCTGTCCGGCACGAGGTGGAGCTGCGCTCGGGAGACGTCATCGGTCTGGGAGATCATTACCTCTTCATGTATAAAGACCCGACTTCTGAACGCCCAACTCTCTGTCAAGTGTGTGTGCTGTCAGAGAAACCCAGAAGGCCTCGAGGCTTCAGAGACCCCGAGGGAGCAGAACTGGCCCTGCCGTACGATGTCGAACATGAATCCCGGGTCCTGCAGGAGATCTTCTCCATGGTGGATCAGGATAAACACACACACAAACTGAGCGCTGCGTTCCTGCTGTGTTTGTGTTTCCAGCAATCCGTCAATCACTTCTCAATGCCGGCCCTCCGAAGACTCCTGTTACACACAGCCAATCAGCTTCAGACGCTCGTGTGGGTCAGTCTGTCATTTCAACTTACTTCATTTAACTTCCCTTTGTGTCAATATTGTGCGAGTTAAAAAAAAGCCCCCCTCGCCACCTCGTACATTTATATAATTTTTAAACAACTTTTATGAATTATTTTCCCACATTATACAGGTGAAACTCAAAAAATTTGAATATCATGCAAGTTCATTTATCTCAGTAATTCAACTTAAAATGTGAAACTCATAATTGTGATGATTATGGCTTACAGCTTATGAAAACAATATTCTAATTTTGAATTTAGGGTTTTCATAAGCTGTAAGCCATAATCATCAACATTATAACAAATAAAGGCTTGAAATATCTCACTTTGGATGTAATGAGTCTATATAATATATTAGTTTCACCTTTTAAGTTGAATTACTGAAATTAATGAACTTTTGCACGATATTCGAATCTTTCGAGTTTCACCTGTAAATGAAAAGATGCAGTAAAATGCAAGACTCATCACGCTAAAAAATGTTGTTGTGTTGTGTGTATCTTTTATACCTTAATACAGGAAAAGGCGAAAGAACTTGCAGCGTTGCAGCCTAAAATGTAAGAGCAGGAACTTGTTTCTCATCAATTCATAACCAGAGGAATTAAAATGCAATATCTCAGGCACAGCTTACATTAAAAGCAGATTTTCCTGTCTCGAGCAGACGTGATTCAGAAGCAGAGGACCGGCTGATCCGGGGTCTGGAGCCGCTGGTCCTGTGGATGGCCAACTCCACCGAGATCCTTCACTTCATCCACCAGGATCTTCCTCGTCTTCTGCATGGGATCTCTCAGGAGGAGGAGGAGGAGGAGGAAGACTGCATTGGTAGAGTTCAAAATCAAATGCATTCTTATGTGAATAATGTGATGTGTCTGTTAGGTGACACACACACACACACACACACACACACACAGAAAGACAATGTTGAAAGGCTATTATTAACAGTCCTTCCAGAAAAACACTTGATTATTAAACAAAAATCCTTGATTATGCGGCCCGTTTTCTTTAAATATGCGGGATATTTATGCAATTTTATGCGATGAAATTGCGGGAACTTGCAAAAATTGCGGTTTGATGAAAAAGAGAGAAAAAAGTGATTCCCCAACACCCTGTTCTCACTAGACCACTGCATTAATGTAAAGAGTCATTTCTTATGACTTCCTATGATAAGCAAGCATATACATCACAGAAATTGCTGGAATATTTCAGTTCTCATCTTGTTTTATTGCAGACCTTAAACTGTGTTTATGTTGTTTCTACATAAATGTGGAGATTAACTATGAAATTATTAAATTATAAAATATATTAAAAACATATAAACGTGTTTTTAATTGTGATTAATCGAGTTTTTGTTTTTAGTCGATTGACAGCGCTAGAATAATGTGATGTGTCGGCTCAGATTCAGTGGTTTGCATGTCAGATTCAGTGGTTTGCATGTCAGATTCAGTGGTTTGCATGTCAGATTCAGTGGTTTGCATGTCAGATTCAGTGGTTTGCATGTCAGATTCAGTGGTTTGCATGTCTCTGGGTGTGTTTTAGCGGTTCTGGAGCTTCGGCTTTCGTCGGTGCGGCCGGCCAGCGAAGAGGCCATGACGGTTCTGGAGGAGGTTCTGATGTTCACCTTCCAGCAGTGTGTCTATTATCTCACCAAGGTCAGGACTTCTTCATACTTAAAGAGACAGTTCAACCAAAATGTATCATTCTGTCATCATTTTTTCAAAATCTGTTTTTTTGTCCATACAATGAAAGTCAATGGGGTCCAATGTTGTTTTGAGTGAATTATCCATTTTATTAATGTTGTTTATGTGTCTATGTGGTGTTTTTAATATGCTTTAACACAAACCATGTGTAAGTTCATAAGTCGACAGCATTGCTGAGTATTTTCTGCTTAAAACTGCAGTGAACCAAAGACAGTCTCAAAAACACGGTTTGAAATCGCTGGTGTTTCTGACGTCACAAACGACCTTGTAACCAATCAGATCAACGTGTGATCGTCAACCAGTGGATCTCTGAGCTGAGGGAGTGAGTGGAGGCGGGGCTCATTTGCACATTCATAGAACCACGCATACTAAATGAGGCAAGGGTGTCGAGTTACATTCAAGATATTTTAAGCCCTGGAGAATTATTTTCAAGGAAAAAACGTTTAAATATGTTATTTTTGTGATCAAAGATGAGTTTTAATGGATAAAATGATTGACTACAGGGGGACTTTAAGGAGACTAGACGATTGGAGTCAGATTTTGATTAAATATTATAAGGTACATTTAAAAAAAAAAAAGGAATTGTTTACATTAAGATCTACAATATGCATTTAGAAAATAGATAGGGTGAGTTGTAATTTCATGCAGGTTTGAGTGAATTCTGTCCTTAATGTCAATGCAGTGAAAATAGGGTCACCATCTTTCATTACACCACAAAAGCGTTTGTTACATATAATCAACTCGATGATATTACAGATTGTACATAAGAACAATAATCCGACTCTATCTTTAGGCAAAAGAGCGCTGTAAGCATGTTTCAGTGTGGCTGTCTGAGATGAATAACTCATTATCAGGAAGTCAGGTTAGCAGGCCTAGAAAAACACTGGCCTTGTGAATGTGGTTGAACGCAGAATCGATCTCAAGCGCTTCCAGATGTCTTGCTTGCATGTGACCTCGATGAACCTTCTTGGCTTGTGGATATGAATGAATCTACTGTATCATACATGTGTGAGATCTTCATATCTATTTCACGAGTGGTCTCAGACTTTTAGACCCCACTATATTCAGATTATCACAGAAGTACTGGGATAAAGGTTTATTGTTCAGATATAAACACTGACGTCTACGCTAGTGATCAAAATAGAGTAAATCACCTTTTGAAAGTAACTTGATGCTTCAAATAAAGATTGTATCAGTTACATCGTTACACCAGTAGGTGGAGACAAGTGACTGTTGATAATGTGTCATTGAATCATTCATTCAAGGGATTCATTCAAAAACACTGATTCATCCAGTAATGAAACATTTGATGTCTTTATGAGTCATTGAATCATTCATTCAAGAGAATCGTTCAAAAACGCTGATTCATCCAGTAATGAAACAAGTGAAGGATTTATGAGTGAGTCATTGAATCATTCATTCAAGAGAATCGTTCAAAAACGCTGATTCATCCAGTAATGAAACAAGTGGAGTATTTATTTGATTTGATTTGATTTACTTTATTAATCCCCCAGGGGGAAATTTATGTGTCACAACAGCATAGAAATTCAATGAATAAATAAACAACAACAAACAACATACACAACAGCAACAAGTCTTGTTCTCAAGTATCAATTTTTCAAAGCACCATGATTATATACGACCAGAATAAATACATAAATATATATATATCATCTCACATGACACTGATTATAAAATCTAATTGCGGTTGGGAAAAAAGACTTTCTAAGACTTTCACACTCTTATGAGTGTGTCATTGAATCATTCATTCAAGGGATTCATTCAAAAACACTGATTCATCCAGTAATGAAACATTTGATGTCTTTATGAGTTATTGAATCATTCATTCAAGAGATTCGTTTAAAAACGTTGATTCATCCAGTAATGAAACAAGTGAAGGATTTATGAGTGAGTCATTAAATCATTCATTCAAGAGAATCGTTCAAAAACGCTGATTCATCCAGTAATGAAACAAGTGAAGGATTTATGAGTGAGTCATTGAATCATTCATTCAAGAGATTCATTCAAAAACGCTGATTCATCCAGTAATGAAACAAGTGAAGGATTTATGAGTGAGTCATTGAATCATTCATTCAAGAGAATCGTTCAAAAACGCTGATTCATCCAGTAATGAAACAAGTGAAGGATTTATGAGTGAGTCATTGAATCATTCATTCAAGAGATTTGTTCAAAAACGCTGATTCATCCAGTAATGAAACAAGTGAAGGATTTATGAGTGAGTCATTGAATCATTCATTCAAGAGAATCGTTCAAAAACGCTGATTCATCCAGTAATGAAACAAGTGGAGTATTTATGAGTGAGTCATTGAATCATTCATTCAAGAGATTTGTTCAAAAACGCTGATTCATCCAGTAATGAAACAAGTGAAGGATTAATGAGTGAGTCATTGAATCATTCATTCAAGAGATTTGTTCAAAAACGCTGATTCATCCAGTAATGAAACAAGTGAAGGATTTATGAGTGAGTCATTGAATCATTCATTCAAGAGATTTGTTCAAAAACGCTGATTCATCCAGTAATGAAACAAGTGAAGGATTTATGAGTGAGTCATTGAATCATTCATTCAAGAGAATCGTTCAAAAACGCTGATTCATCCAGTAATGAAACAAGTGGAGTATTTATGAGTGAGTCATTGAATCATTCATTCAAGAGATTCATTCAAAAACGCTGATTCATCCAGTAATGAAACAAGTGAAGGATTTATGAGTGAGTCATTGAATCATTCATTCAAGAGATTTGTTCAAAAACGCTGATTCATCCAGTAATGAAACAAGTGAAGGATTTATGAGTGAGTCATTGAATCATTCATTCAAGAGAATCGTTCAAAAACGCTGATTCATCCAGTAATGAAACAAGTGGAGTATTTATGAGTGAGTCATTAAATCATTCATTCAAGAGATTCATTCAAAAACGCTGATTCATCCAGTAATGAAACAAGTGAAGGATTTATGAGTGAGTCATTGAATCATTCATTCAAGAGAATCGTTCAAAAACGCTGATTCATCCAGTAATGAAACAAGTGAAGGATTTATGAGTGAGTCATTGAATCATTCATTCAAGAGAATCGTTCAAAAACGCTGATTCATCCAGTAATGAAACAAGTGGAGTATTTATGAGTGAGTCATTGAATCATTCATTCAAGAGATTTGTTCAAAAACGCTGATTCATCCAGTAATGAAACAAGTGAAGGATTTATGAGTGAGTCATTGAATCATTCATTCAAGAGAATCGTTCAAAAACGCTGATTCATCCAGCAATGAAACAAGTGGAGTATTTATGAGTGAGTCATTGAATCATTCATTCAAGAGATTCATTCAAAAACGCTGATTCATCCAGTAATGAAACAAGTGAAGGATTTATGAGTGAGTCATTGAATCATTCATTCAAGAGATTCATTCAAAAATGCTGATTCATCCAGTAATGAAACAAGTGAAGTATTTATGAGTGAGTCATTGAATCATTCACTCAACCCGATTTAAAAAAATAAATGGTAAAATATTGCTCTACATCGGAATTAATTTATCGTATTTTTATATTTTCTGTTTTAATTTTAATTGTATTTAAAGTTATGTGTTTTGTCATTTTTGTTTAATATATCTTTACAACTTAGTTTAGTCTGGTTTAGTACAGCGTTTCTCAAAGTGTGGGGCGCGCCCCACTGGTGGGGAATAGAAACATGACAAGTGGGGCGTGACAAACGGGAGAAAATGTGGTAATTGTTGTGCCCATCTCTATTAATTCCTTTATTTATTGAGCATAAACTCAAAACAAAACAACGACACATTTAAATGTAAGCCTTACTTAACCTTTTCACGCGTAAGTTTAAAAGTTTTTAGAGGCGCCCGTTATTTAGATCGTATCCCTCAGAGCGTAACGGCTCTGGTATCCCTTTATGGTTTCCATGGTGACGCGTCATTGCTTGTCACACCGCAGCCATGCTGAATGACTGATTATCTGCTTTTATTTCACAAGTGTTGGCTATAGCAGGAAATATCTGATATTCCGATTGTCAAATATGAGCAAGTGGATGTGTTTTGTTGTTTAAACACCTTAGTTGAGCTATACGCGCTGGGCGTTAGTTTATGCCGGATTTTAGAGAATCGGATCTGTTGGATTTAACAAACGTCAATTTATCCACTTCTCCCGAAATGAAAGTATGAAAGTAAGTGGCTGGTGAACTGAGAGAATAGAGTAAACTTGAAATTTACTTACACGATGTGTACTTGATATGAATAATACGTGTCATCTAATTATAATGGAAATAATTATTATTCCCGCTTCCATAGACATTAGTGTGTATATGACAAACTCTAAATGAATTGCTTTTTTAATAACTTACTTATGTGAATTTAAATGTCTGAAACCTAAAATAAACATTATGTGGTTGAAAACACTGAATAGTTGTGATGTCAAGCGGTGAGCGGCGATTTTCTGGTTCAGAAAATATGTGTAGCCTACTAAAAAACAGGCTCATTGCAGACACTAAATTAGTTAATCACTTAATTTTGAACTTTCAAAGTGCACCATATTTATGAATTTATCTTTAAAACGTACAAACTTTTCTTCCGGGGAGCATGCCCCCGGACCCCCCTTAGGGGTGCAGAGGTCCACACCACACACAAAATACTGTGGGAAACACAGTAGCTTATATGATAGTCTTCGAAAAATACAAAATACAATTATTATTATAAAAATACCTAAAATACGTACATTATTATGATTTTACCACATCTGCCTCGTTTTGAGCCAGGAAAAACCCTGAGATTTTTATTATTCTTTTTCAATTTTGTTTGTTCTTTTTGGATGCAGTTTGCGAAGTGACAAAATAAAGCAAAGCACATTTAGTCCACACTTTTATTTTCTCCGTTTCTGAATTTGATGTTAACAGAGGCAAAATACAAACACAATTGCATTATTATTTTTATCTACT